ATGATGAACCAACAAAGCTAGTGAAAAATGAACTAAAGGGAGTAGAGAACACGGGGAACAGATGAACAAGGACTAAAGAAGGGGGCAAGGCATAGGAAAACAAGGAGGCAGGACAAGGGAAGCACATGGTCAACACTCAAAATAGACAACCATGTGCTAATACACAAAACAAACAAAGAGACATTAAACAGACAGGAGTGTCAGGGCTGCAAGGGCTGGATCCTGACACCTGCACTATAAGTCTATCACACAGCAATATGGGTAAAGTAGTTCCTTAAAGCTGTAAATATTGCAATAATTAAATGGCCAGCAGAGTCCTGATCTAAACCTGACTGAAAATCTATGGAACATCCTTGATAAACAAACCTTATATCTTAAAACCCCCCTTCAGTTTCTAAACACTGGAAGTGTTCATTAATTTTTCTCTAAATTTGATCTCCACTTCAAATCTTTGAATATTTTAAATATTAAATCATTCTTTATTTTAATGTATCTCAAAAATTGTGTTCTCCCAATCAACATGAAAGTTACTCGATTGTGATATTCTGAAAGTAATCAAATCCAAGAATGAATAATATAAAAAAAAAAAACAGAATCTAAGGATCTGTCTTATGCCAAAGGGAGTTTACTTCTCTCACATTCCATGTTTAGATAAATGTAGTGAACAGCTTTCGGTTTGTACAGATTTGTTTGGTGTTTCTTGTGTGCCAGAAATCTACAGTTGTTTTCAGGTGGGGTGCTGTCAGAATGGCCATGCATGTATCTAAAGAAAAACACACACATAGTTTCACAGTATGAAGACGACAGTGGGTGTGTGAATGGACAGCTGGGATTAATATCTGTGTGTGTGTCTGTGTGTGTGTGTGTGTGTGTGTGTGTGTGTGTGTGTGTGTGTGTGTGTGTGTGTGTGTGTTCACCCTGAGCTTTGGTTCCATTTCTCTGGCTTTAATGAATCCCATTCACTGAATCATGCGATGCAGAATTGGCACACGGCTGAAGAGTGACTGCACGCTCACTGCATCCAGCGTTTACACAGGATAGAAGTCATGCCTTTCAACTGCCTTACTACGAATTGCTAAACATCTGTTTTTTCCAACCTCTCCATTTCTTTCTGATTCTCCTCACTCTTTTCTGTTATTTCAGAGCAAATAGTTTTCAATTAGTATTAGTAAATGTTAGCATCTAAATACTTCTAGTGAATGGGTGTATGCTCTGTCATTTTCTCTAAAAATCATGTTTTGTCAGGAGTAAATTAATATTTTTTCCTCGAAGAGTGTAGTATAAATTTAAAATATACATTTATTTAAAGACTAGACAAAAGACTAAAGATTATTATTATTTTTTTTATTAGCAAAGCTGATTCAAATTAAATGTTTGCATGTGTAGCAATTTTTTAAACTTTCACCAAGGCTGCATTTATTTGGTCAAAATACAGTAAAACGGTGATATTGTGATAATTAATTACTCATTTTAAAAACACATTATGGTGTTATAATACATATTATACATAGGGCATCCATTGCATAAAACATGTGCTGGATAAGTTGGCGGTTCATTCCGCTGTGTAATCAAAAAATATGTGTGCTTCTTTTTTCAGTTTTTTTTTTTTTTAAGAAATATTTGTGGATTAGAAAGTTCAATGGAACATAATTCATTTGAAATACACACAAATAGGTATATAAAAGTATGTGTATATGTGTCAATATAAGGAAATTCTGCATCTGCATGATCTGCTTAGACTTGTGTTTTGAATCAAACACTGCATTGAGCTGTGTTTTGTGCATTTAAGATGTCAGTTGTCTATTTAAAACTGTATTGGCATTTTCTCAGCATTTGTAATGTTCTTTTTTTCACTTCACTTTTTTTCACTGTTATCTTTCATTATATAATTGCTTTATTTCTATCACCTTTGATGAATTTAATTGAGAACATTAAGCATATTTTGCATAAATATTTAAATGTGGCAACGCAGTGGCGCAGTAGGTAGTGCTGTCGCCTCACAGCAAGATGGTCGCTGGTTCGAACCTCAGCTCGGCTCGGCTTAGTTGGCGTTTCTGTATGGAGTTTGCATGTTCTCCCTGCGTTCGCGTGGGTTTCCTCTGTGTGCTCTGGTTTCCCCCACCGTCCAAAGACATGTGGTACAGGTGAATTGGGTAGGCTAAATTGTCCGTAGTGTATGAGTGTGTGTATGAATGACTGTGTAGATGTTTCCCAGAGATGGGTTGCAGCTGGAAGGGCATCCGCTGCGTAAAAACGTGCTGGATAAGTTGGCGGCCGCTGTGGTGACCCTGGATTAATAAAGGGACTAAGCCGACAAGAAAATGAATGAATGAAATATTTAAATGCATTTATATTTATTCAAATTAATTAATTTATTTAATGTATTTATTTAAATTATTTCATTATTTTTTTCCCATTTAAAAAATAAATGCTATTGCTATTTAATCAGCCCATTTGAATGTTATTACTCGATTGAATGGACATTACCAGTAGTTATCAGCTGATAGAGATGAGCCAGTAAGGACCTTCTGTGCCTCTCAGAAGCCTCTTCTGTTGGTTCAGAAGGCTGTAATCATGCATCTACATAGTTAATCAGTCATAGATCACATTCGGCTATGGCCGGAAGTTAACAAAAATTATTAATATTATTTATCAAATGTTCCCATTAATTGTATTTCAATAACGTCTACCCCAACCCTAAACCCAACAATCACAGTAATGTAAAAACAGATCTGGATCTGGAGTCTTCTTCATAAGTTTAGCTTACTAACCATGTGGATGGATGATAACAGCCTTTTGAGCCTACCAGTAGGCCTACTACTGCCCCATATCTTTCAGCTGATAACCATTGATAATGCCCATTCAATTGAGTGATAACATTTGAAGCGGCTGATTTATTCATGTTCTTGTATTTATTTCAGCACTATAATGGTCCTTTTAGCTTTATGTCTGCACTATGTTTGTACTCTTGGTACTCTATGTACTGGAAGCAAGCACACTTGGCAATAAAGCTCTTTCTGATTCTGATATTACATTAATATCTAATATCTAACCACAAGAGATCGCTGGAAATCATTCACACACACATAGGACTACAAATCTGCTTGTAAATGGACTACATATTCAGTCATGCCACACACACACACACACACACACACATCTGCTCCAAGTCTCCACTGATTAGACTCCCACAGCTGATGCTGCTTCAAGACTGATTACTGCATTACATAAACAGCACAGAAACACTCACTGTTGCTGAGTCTTGTTATCTGCTATAGTGATATTACAATGCGGTTCCTAGTGGTGGGCAAAGCGAGGCTTCGTGAAACACTGAAACTATCGAAGCAAATGTGTCGAAGCTTCGAAACGTTTCGAAACACCACTCTATGGCGACACCTAGTGGTCATTTTAATTGTATTTCACTGAAACAACTTCAGCAAAGAACAGTTGAGCAAATTAGGGTATGAAACCCCACTTTGTAGCCCTGAATCTGCAAGTGGTTTAGATGAGCGGTTAGAGTCTGTGACCACCATGCGGGAATAAAGGGATCGAATCCATACTGAAACATTTATTTTGAAATGCTTTAATACCAGTTGGTAATGCTTTGTTATTGTATCGTTTTGTTTCAACATTGCTCTGACATACGAATAAACACCTTGTAAATAAATTTGTATTGTTTTGTTCATAAAACAGGGTTGTTGCTAGATCAGATACAGTTGTGGCCAGAAGTTAACAATAATTATTTATATTATTAATTAAATTTCCCATTGTATTTTATTAACGTCTATCCAAAACCTAAACCCATCACAGTACTGTAAAAATATGAATTATTGTTTTACAGTGTTACAAAAATGATGCTAAATTGATGGCATATCCGTAGCTGTATCCTATCTAGACTACACCATAAAACAGTAACATGATTAAAATATATAAAATCATGATTTTGTAGTATTTGGACTAGTCGGGATTCGAACCCAAAACAAATTTGTAACACAGATCTGTTGTGCACACGCATGATCCACTAAGCCATACAAGACACAGTTACGTTATTGATCATGCCAGTCAAATCCATATTCTCCGGGTCTTGAAACGCCTCTGAAATGATCAATGCTTTGAATCGCTTTAGTCATGTGACCAAGTGTTTCGAAACACTTTAGTCACGTGACCTGGGTGTTTCGGATCATGCTTCGGTGCAGTGTTTCGAAACACTTGCGCTTCGGGATCTCGACACTGTGTCGAAACGTCAGTTTCACGTCAGCCATCTTTAGCGGTTCCTTTGTCTGCCTTTGCCGTGTTTTTGATCATTTGCCTTGTTTATTTGTTTCATCCTGTTTACTACCTGCCTTGCAACCATCTGCCTGTTAATTTGACTATGACTCTGGATTGCCCTCGTACATCTGTTTACCCCTGTATTGACCACTGCTTGCCTGACCTCGCTAATAAACCTGCATGTGGATCCGCACATCTGTTGTCACTGTCACTCCCCGTGTTACAACAAGAATGGTATTGTTTAAAATACATTTTGGTTTTAGGACATCTCTGATAAAACATTTAGAACCACGGGGCATTTAGGATTAATGAGTCTTTTTTTATTTATTTATTTATTTATTTTTAGAGTTGCCTCTTATGACAAATTGTTTAATGAAGTGCTTTTAAAATCCTTTTATACAGATGACCATGTCTTTTTCCAGGCATTGGTTCACAATTTAAAAATTATGTAATATTTTTAGGCTTCTTTGAGCATAAATGTTGGTTTGTTTCATTGTTTTTCTTTGTTCTTTTTAAATAGTAAAACTCTGATTAAACAGAATTAGCACTGAACCATAACACTTCTATTGCCTGACCTCATATGCTTGTGGTTGTAGATGAAACTGTCACAGAAATAGCCCATGCAACTTATCTAAAGTGCCATGATTATCAGGACCCGACGCAACCCAGCCTTAGCCAGCAATCACAGGCTCTGTTTGATCTCTCTTTTTGTCTGTGTGTGTCCCTTCCAGACATCCGCGAGACGGCGTTTGTGTATGCCATCACAGCAGCAGGAGTAACACATGCAGTGACGCAGGCCTGCAGTATGGGGGAGCTTCTGCAGTGTGGCTGCGAGGCCACACGGAGCAGAGGACCACCGCCGCGACTGGCCAGCATGGGGCCTACTGAGGGGGTCAAGTGGGAGTGGGGCGGCTGTGGGGACGACGTGGAGTTCGGCTATGAGAAGTCCAAGCAGTTCATGGATGCCAGACGGAGGAAGGGCAAGAGTGACATACGTACACTAATAGATCTACACAATAACGAGGCTGGACGACTGGTGCGTAGTTTTATCTTTCATCAATAGCTTTAGAAAGATTTTATTTTTAAAGTGGATACAGATGGAGTCCAATACTTGGCTATATTTCAAGTTATTGTTGGGTAAATTATTTCAGAAAAAAAATGATTACTAATTACCTCAATAAAAAGTATTTTAATTACTTTTGCAATTACTATGTCAGAAAAGTAATTTACTTAATAGGGTATTCAATTACTTAAAAATTATTCAATCTCAACATGTATATGTATTAACTTATATATGGTTTATATATGGTTTTATTTAAAAATGTAATCCTTAAGCATTTAATAAAAAAAGAAAAAAATTCCTTAACAAACAGAACTGTTCTGCAAAAAAAAAGACACGTATTAAAATATGAAACAGTTTATTCAATAAATTTGTCATTGCAGATATTTGTTCATGGTTAGAAATATGAATGAACACATTTATTTAGCAATAATAAATTATTGTTAATGTATTTAAACTAAGCATATATTAATGTGTTCCTTAATAGTTAACAAGTTAGTTAATGCATTGGGTAATGTGAACAAATAATAAACAAATGTTATTAACTAGCTTGGTTAATGACAAATTATGTTTGTACAGCATCCATAAACATGAATAACTTGCAAGTTGAATCTAAGGTTTCCACTTTAACACTCCAAAACAGTGTCCATTTAGAACTTTTTTGTCCCTGACTTTGATTACACTGTAAAACTGGTTGCCTTAAACTTTTAAGTGAAATTAAATAAACCTTATCATTCATTTTAACTTGCATTATATTAAACTGACTTAAAATAGCTTGCGAAACGTCTAAAATTAAGTTGGAACTTGATTAACCTACAATTAGCTAAAACCCTATGTTGTCAAGACTAATTGATCATATATACTTTTTCTGGTTCAAATAACTTATTTTTATTTGTCCCAATTCTTTTTTTTTTTTCTAGTTAGTATAACCTATTTTTTATAACTTAACTTTTCCTGGTTACCCCAACTTAATATTTCTAATTAAGTTAACTCCTTTTTTCTAGTTACACTAAATATTTCAAATTTATTTAACTTATTTTTTTTTCGAGTTACCACAACTTAATATTTCTAATTTATTTAACTTTTTTTCTAGTTAGCACAATTAAATATTTCTAATTTCATTAACTTTTTTTATATTTACAACTTAATATTTCTAATTCTTTAACTTATTTGCCTAGTTACCACAACTTAATATTTCTAATTTATATAATTTATTTTTTTAGTTACCACAACTTAATATTTCTAATTTATTTAACTTATTTTTTAGTTGCCACAACTGAATATTTGTAATATCTTTAACCTATTTCTTCCTACTTACCCCGACTTAATATTTATAATTGCATTAAATAATTTTTTTAGTTTCCACAACTTAATATTTCTAATTTAGTTAACCTATTTTTTAAGTTACCACAACTTAATATTTGTAATTTCTTTAACTTTTTTTTCTAGTTAGCACAACTCAATATTTCTAATTTGTTTAACTTTTTTCTAGTTACAACTTGATATTTTTATTACTTTAGCTTTTTTCCCCCAGTTACCACAACTTAATATTTGTAATTTATTTAACTTATTGTTTAAGTTACCACAACTTAATATTTCTAATTTATTTAACTTATTTTTTTAGTTGCCACAACTGAATATTTCTAATATCTTTAACTTATTTCTTCCTACTTACCCCAACTTAATAATTATAATTGCATTAAATTATTTTTTTTAGTTTCCACAACTTAATATTTCTAATTTTTTTAACTTTTTTTTTTCTAGTTACAACTTATTATTTTTATTACTTTAGCTTCTTTTTTTCTAGTTACCACAACTTAATATTTCTAATTTAGTTAACCTATTTTTAAGTTACCACAACTTAATATTTGTAATTTCTTTAACTTTTTTTTCTAGTTAGCACAACTCAATATTTCTAATTTGTTTAACTTTTTTCTAGTTACAACTTGATATTTTTATTACTTTAGCTTTTTTCCCCCAGTTACCACAACTTAATATTTGTAATTTATTTAACTTATTGTTTAAGTTACCACAACTTAATATTTCTAATTTCTTTAACTTATTTTTTTAGTTACCACAACTGAATATTTCTAATATCTTTAACTTATTTCTTCCTACTTACCCCAACTTAATAATTATAATTGCATTAAATTATTTTTTTTAGTTTCCACAACTTAATATTTCTAATTTTTTTAACTTTTTTTTTCTAGTTACAACTTATTATTTTTATTACTTTAGCTTCTTTTTTTCTAGTTACCACAACTTAATATTTCTAATTTAGTTAACCTATTTTTTTAAGTTACCACAACTTAATATTTCTAATTTCTTTAACTTATTTTTTTAGTTACCACAACTGAATATTTCTAATATCTTTAACTTATTTCTTCCTACTTACCCCAACTTAATAATTATAATTGCATTAAATTATTTTTTTTAGTTTCCACAACTTAATATTTCTAATTTTTTTAACTTTTTTTTTCTAGTTACAACTTATTATTTTTATTACTTTAGCTTCTTTTTTTCTAGTTACCACAACTTAATATTTCTAATTTAGTTAACCTATTTTTTTAAGTTACCACAACTTAATATTTCTAATTTCTTTAACTTTTTTTTCTAGTTAGCACAACTAAATATTTCTAATTTCATTAACTTTTTTTTCTAGTTACAACTTAATATTTTTATTACTTTAGCTTTTTTCCCCTAGTTACCACAATTTAATATTTCTAATTTATTTACCTTACAGTATTTTTTAAGTTACCACAAATTAATATTTCTAATTTCTTTAACTTATTTTTTTAGTTGCCACAACTGAATATTTCTAATATCTTTGACTTATTTATTCCTATTTACCACAACCTAATATTTATAATTGCATAAAATTATTTTTTTTAGTTTCCACAACTTAATATTTCTAATTATTTAACTTATTCTCCTAGTTACCACAACTTAATATTTCTAATTTCTTAAGCTTATTTTTAAGTTGCCACAACGGAATATTTCTAATATCTTTAACTTAGTTTTTTTTTCAAGTTACCACAACTTAATATTTCAAATTTATTTAACTTATTTCTTCCTACTTACCACAACTTAATATTTCTAATTGCATAAATTGTTTTTTTTTTTTGTTTCCACAACTTTATATTTCTAATTTCTTTAACTTATTTCTTCCTACTTACCACAACTTAATATTTCTAATTGCGTTAAATTGTTTTTTTTTTTTTTTTTTGTTTCCACAACTTTATATTTCTAATTTCTTTAACTTATTTCTTCCTACTTACCAAAACTTAATATTTCTAATTGCTTTAACTTATTTTTTTTCTACTTTTCTTAACTGGTTACTACAACCTAATTTTTCTAGTTTTTGCAACTTATTTTTTCTTGTTCTCATAACTTAAATGTTCTAGTTCTTATAACTTCTAACTTCTTGTTCTTATAACTGTTCTGAAAAATTGTGTAGTGCTGAACTTAAGGCAAGGTGTTCATTTAACAAAGTTTTTATCATTGCTGAAAACATGTGTTGCTATTTAAGGTCATGTTATAATATATTAACAAATACATTGGTGTATGTGTAAGTAAACATTAACTAACTAAACTGGAAAAGTAAAGAAATCATACATCAGAATATGAAATAAAGTTAACATTACCTAATGGTTAACTGTTTTTTTTTTTTTTTTTTTTTTTTCATTGTTAATTTGTGATAAATAATGCATTAACTAATGTTAACTAATAAAACCTTATTGTGGTGTTATAATAGTAGTAATAGTATTAAACAGTAGTATAATATGTCATAGCATTCTTACATAAAGTTCTTCATTTATAACCACTATTAACTAATAATTAGCCATTTGTATTTGCTACTATTATGACACCATTCCCCATCACTGACATTCCTCTGTCATAATAAAATGATTTCCTGCCATTTATGGTATGTTTTGTCTATTATGACACAGTGATGCCTTGCTAGTATTAGAATTGTCTGAACATCTGTGTTTTTACTGTAATGTGGCAGAGGACATCTTATGAAATACCCGATACAGAATATCTAGATCCATTAGAGATTTGAGGGGATTTAATAGATAATCATTCTGAATCTGATCTGGACTTGCTCACACAAAACTGCTAATTTATCTTTTATGCTTATGTGATTTCAAAAGCGTGGACCGAAACAACAAGTCAAAAGGATCTTTTTTTTATTTTATTTTTTTTTTTAAATTGATTTATAAGCTCTCCCTTTCTCCACTGATGTATGGTTTGTTTGTACCTGACCCCAGATTTATACATCACTATAAATCTAAACAAATAAGCTCCAATTGATGTATGGCTTGTTATGATAGGATATTTGGCTGTGATACAACTATTTGAAAACTTGAAAAGGGAAAAACCTAAATAAATCGCCTTTAAAGTGGTTTAAATTAAGTTATTAGCAAATGCACTTTAATAATTAAAAGAAAAGTTTTGATATATTTATAGTAGGAAATAAAAAAAAAAAAGTTCTTTAATTAATATTGAATGATTTTTTTTTTTTTTTTTTTTTTTGCATAATAGAAAAATCAATCATTTTGGCCCATAAAATAATTTTTGCTATTGCTCAAAATATACCTGTGCAATATATGGCTGGTTTTGTTGTTAAAAAATAATATTTCAAGTTCAATAAAACTTTGGAGATGTAGTTAAAGCTCATACAAACAGTTTTACATTGTGTCATTTTAACCAAAGATGTTACACAAAGTCTCCACAAACTGCTGATATTCTCTCATAAGAATATTTTAGTGAACTGTGGAAAAATAACAATAATGTAAAACAATAAAAAGAAAAACAATAATAATTTTACAAATTAATTTAAAACTAACCTGTCATCTATACTCAGTCAAGGGGTGGTACTTTCTCAAAGGGTTCAAACTGTACATATTTGCACATTTTTATGGACTAATAGGTAGCTCAGTAGCTAGCACTGTCACCTTACTGCAAGAAGGTTG